GCCTAATTTAGTTGCTATTGTCAGAGTAATTTATGTTAATCAAGCAACAAAAGAAAGACAGAAAATCACGCACTGCTCTTGACTGAAAAACTTTAGTAGCCCTAAAGATTAATCTAAATTTATCTATAGAAATAAATATGTCTGCTTGAAAGAATGAGGAATATGGTAAACAAGTTGCTATAAAGAATGCATAATTAGCCCATATAACCATTGGTACTTCATTAAGAAGACCATGTTCTTGTTCTTTATGAGAAGTTGATTTATTTCTGGCATTTTAGTCAAAAGACTATGACTAAAACTAAATCAAAATTTGCTGTCAAAATGAACACTGCTTACACACAAGCTGGTTATTAGTAGTGCATCGTTCAAATTACCAACTCACCCTGTGGCCGGCTGCCTGTAGGGGGCGTCTGGGAGTCCGTATGAGCTGGGCGTTCTGCCTCTCAGCCCCGACCGCTGTCCACTCGCTCCCACAGGACTGTAGTCATCATAATCTGGTGGCATGTAGTCTGGGCGTCCCGGCAGGGGTTCGGGGTACTCTGGGGGGCTGTACGGTGGATGGTATCCTCCTCTTCCAGGCAGGAGCCCCGGGCCGAAGCGCTCGTAGTAACGAGGAGAGTAAGGAGGAGGACCGAACTCATTACACAGGGCCTCATAGGCCTCTAATCAGGAGTCAGACAGACAAATTAAAATGAGTTAAAGAGAGAAACCGAATGAGTGTCTGAGGGTCGGGCAAAATTCAGAAAGTAAAGAAGTATGAGAATAAGAATTTTATTGGAATGATGGGAAATTTTTGATGGGAAATAAGAATTTTATTGGAATGATGGGAAATAGAATTAACTGAATTAAAATTCAAAGAAACTAAAGGCTGGAATACACTACATGATTTCTCCCCGATTGACAGTCTGGAGAAGTCGGCGATAGTTGCCAAAAGTCAGAGCCAGTCTGCAGATTGGAGTTGACAGATTTCATAGAAAATCGCATAGTGTGTATGATAGTCACAGACTTTGATTCCATCCAGTCGGAGGAGATCACAGATGTTTGATATTTTGAGCTGATTTTAGAACACATTGTTTTCATTTGTCACTCGTCTCCTAGCAACAAGGCGCACCTTTCTGTGTGAGTTTGTTGTGATCGGAATGACTTTAAAGTCTGGTAGTGTGTAAATGATCCTCACTCGTTTAGTGTATGATGGCCAGGTTTTCATCTGTGACTGTTTACAAAGTTGGTAAGTGTATGATACTGAGTGTTTTAAAAAACCTGGTCAGATTTTAAAAGTCGTGTAGTGTATTCCAGCCTTAAAACATCTAAACAGACAAAAACAACAACAAAAAAAGGATATTTTTTCACCTCTGAAAAAGTACACTTTAGCATATATATATATAT